ACATGTCTCTTGATGCTTTCAAAGACTGATCTGGTTTCTCTTTAACTTCTGGCTTTCCTTCACTGTGCCGTCTGTAGGAGGCATGAGCATGCTCAAGCTTTCTATGCTGAGATGGACGGGAAGAGTATGGTCTGCTTCGTTTCGGAGACTGCCTTCCCCTGCATCCAGATTTGCTGTGTGGGGAGTCCTTTCGACCTACACTTGATTTCCTGAAAAAACACACATCCCTTTTACGGGGAGACCATTCTCTTGAGCAACGGGAAGAGGAAGAATGTTTTCTTCTGAAGTCATCTTTCACGTCCCTGTACTCCCGCTGCTGGCTTATAGGAGGATTATCTCTTGTCCTCCTTGGGCCAGACTCATCCCTGGGGGGATTCTGAGGAGGCACTTCTTTGTCAGAAGGTCTTTTAGACCACATTTCACCTCTTCTGTTAGCTGATCCTGGGCGGTGACCAAAGATAACAGGGATGTGAAGCATGTGAGGTTTGGCTGGCTACAAGTTTGCCAATAGTCCTAGCAGTCCTTTGGTGGGTACTGAGGCATTGATGCCACTCATTCACCTGTGCCCTAGATAGATGGCAATCCAGAAGACATGAGCTTCAGTGTGGATTGACTGTGCAGGCTCCAGGGCGGGCTCTGGATTCCAGGGCGCTGGCATGCAGGCTCCCAAGGGAGTCGTTAGAGGCCTGGTTGGTATGTGCTGGTGAGTAGAAGTTAAGTATAAACTGTCTTGCATTATTTTCTATAGGATTGATGGACTTCTTACAACCACTTAGGGAAAGACAGGTACACGCCCCTTATAGGTCATAGAAATTAAAAAGGTGCTAAGAAGTTCAATACCTGTCTACACTAATACTCAAGAAGAGTCATTCTGTAAACCCTACTCTCCCCACGATGGCGTTGTCTCCCTAACTTGACTGAGATCTCCATCAGAAAGGGGCTTCTTCTACACTTTTTCCACTCCAGTCTCCCAAAGTGCCTAATACTGAGCTGGATATACAAAAATATTCAATAAAATTACTGCTTTCTGACTGATCTTGGGTCACAGAAGTGACCTAGCTCTGTACTCTTTTCGCCTGTTAAGCCACTAGAAAGAAGCAAACCTGTACCTTAAGAGTCAAGACTTTCCTTTAAGAAAAATCCACTCAATTCTGCAAGGGTAGCATTAATCACAGGATTCAAATGCAGCAGGAAACTCTGGGTTCTACAGCCACACCCCCTTGCAGCAGGCCTGTCCACCTCTGGGAAAACTAAAATGCTATATGGCTGACCTCATTCCTACACTCTGCACACAATATTGTTCAAGCATGATTTTTGCTTTGACAACCAAATTCTGAGCTCCTTGAAGTCATGAACTAAGCCACAGAATCGTATCAAACCAGAAAATGGCTAAACCAGCGCTCTAGATATCTGCAGATGAATATCAAAGCAACAAACATTTGATACCTTATCAATGAAGTTTTAATATCTTCATCAGGATCACATGGAAAGTATGGTGATCTTGAACCAAGAAATCTGAGAGCAAGGTTTGGTTTCTGTTCCAGGACTTGCCACAGATGCCAAAACCTTATGTCATTTCACATTTAAGTCCTGTATTGTGAAATGACATTGTAGTATTTACATATGGCCTACACACATCCCCTTATATCCCTTAGTGACCTAATCTCTAGACTACATAATCTCTAGACTACATTAACATAAATGCTGTGCATAGTTGTTATAGTATATATTTTTTTTTGTCTTTTTTGAGACAGGGTCTCCCTGTAGCCCCAGCTGTCCTGGAACTCACTATGTAGATCAGTCTGGCCTTGAACTCACAGAGATCCGCCTGCCTCTGCCTCCCAAGTGCTGTGATTAAAGGCGTGTGCCACTACGCCCGGCTATAGTGTATTTTTTAGGGAACTCTGACAAGAAAAAAAGTGTACACACACAGTACAGATGCAACCATAGTGGGCCTACATATATATTACACATAAACAAAACACCAGGTAAACAATGCTCAGAGTGCTGGAGAGACTGAGGTCTGTGAGAAGGGAAGAAGCTACAGCAGGGGTGCATGCTTCATTCTTCTAGATTCACTGCAGTAACTGGCACAGTACAAATTCAAATTTTGCCTTCTGGGACTTTCTGAGTTTTTCTTCTTTTGGGTTTGGAATTAAACCTAGGGCCTTGTGTATTCTGGGCACTGGCCTTGTGCTAGCACTGACCTGTATTTCTCAGCCCAGAATTTAACTTAAGCTGGGCATGATGGCTCAGGCCTTTAATCTCAGCACTTGGGAAGCAGAGGCAGGAGGATCTTTGTGAGTTTGAGGCCAGCCTGGTCTACATAGTGAGTTCCAGGACAGCTGGGGTACAAGGAGACCCTGTTTCAAAAAAGACAGGAAAAAAAAAACCAACAAAAAAACAAAGCTTTCCCCCTCACCCATGGTTAGTGGGATCTGCAGATGTAGAATGCATGGATATGGACCTAATTATATATTTTAAATAAGCTTTTCACAAGATTATAAGCTTGAAAGTTTAGGACTAAGAGAACTGTAGAATACAAATTTACACTTAAATGCCTAAATATCTCTTATACAAGGTATGAATAAAATATAACTTAATGCTTCCTATCCTCTTTTTCTCTGGTCTCTCGTCTTTCAATTTTCCAGATCATCTTTCTAGAGCAAAATTCCCACCAAGCTCTCCTTTGCTCAAAAAAAGGGTGTGGTAGCACATCTTTTTAATCCCAGAAGCAGAGGCAGGTATCTCTCTGTGACAGTGAGGCCAACCTGGTCTACATAGTAAGTTCCAGGCTAGCTGGGGTTACAGGGAGACCCTGTCTCAAAACAAAACAAAAACCCAAACAAAAAATTCTCTCCCACCATACTAGGCTTGGCACAAACCTGTAATCCTTGCAGCTGAGGATAGAGGCAGGAGGATCAGGATTTCAAGGTCATTCTTGGCTACACAGAGTTCAAGGCCAGTCAGGATACATGAGACCCAGTCCTAAAACAAAACTGTCCCTACTACAAGAAAATAAAACCCATAGCTGTGAAATAGTCATTGAAGAATCTTTATGCTAACCAGTAAACAAATTAACTTCTAACTTCTACTGGGAATGGAACTCAGGGCTTTGTGTTTCTTATAAATAAACACACACACACACACACACACACACACACAGAGAGAGAGAGAGAGAGAGAGAGAGAGAGAGAGAGAGAGAGAGAGCGCGCGCGAGTAGTAGCCCTCAGCCCCAACTACAAAACCAAGGCTTTGAATTTGCAATCTTCCTGTCTCAGTCTCCCAAGTCGTTAGGATTACAGGTCTGTGCCATTAAGCCTGAGCCTCTTGAAGGCTGGGACAGGACTATGCATGGCAGTCACCCTAACTTTTTCACTTACAGTATAAACTGTGGAGTCAGAATGACTAAGTAAAATCTTAGCTCAACCAAACATTAGTTGCATCATCTCAGGTAACTTTCTTTGCTTCACCTGTAAAGTGGGAATATTAACAGAATAGCCTTAAAAAGTTGTTGAAAACACAACTCAGCATAGTAACAAGCACACAGGAAGCTCCATCCATGAAAATATTTCTATCACTATTTCTAAGATTACCCTCTACAACACTCCCTGCACACACTGGGTTTGGTTCCCAGAACCCACATGGTAGCTAACTGTCCGTAATGCCAGTTCCAGGGGATCTGATACACTCTTCTGCCCTCCGTGGGCATTGCATAACATGGGTGCACTTACATCCATGCAGGGAAAACACTCATACCCCAAAAATTTAAGACGAAAAACAAAAATCCAAAACAAAATAGTATAGTTTTAGGAGGTTAACCCAGGTTCTCAATCTGGTCATCAACTACCTCCCTGAGCCTCCTTATTTCCCACTTATTAGTTCACAATAGATCAACTTTAAAGGGTTGTTGGATTAGAGGTCAAACTGTATCCACAGTTGCTGCATAGTTGATTGATAATAATAGGATTATTAACAGCCACATTTTACGGAACGATGGCTATAATGTAGTTTGCACTAATGTGAACGCTGGAAAGAAAAAAAAAGGGGAGGAGGACTGAACAGCCCCGGAGAAGTGGTTTTTACCATCAACTTTGTGGAACTACATATATATTCTGAGCTCTTGGGCAGGATACATCCGGACCGGCTGTTTACAAAGCAGCAGGGACAAGAAAAAACAAAACAAAACTTCATAGGCACGTGCAGTCAGTACCGGCTCTGGTGTGTGTCTGAAGAAGAGAGCAAAACTTCGTATTGGTCTCTCCCGGTGTGACGTTGAGGCCACCCCAAGGACGGGCCAATAGGCTTCGGTAGGGAGGACCCAACGGCGACAGTTGAAGGCATGTCAGGGCTCTCCCCTTTTCTACCAAAGTTTGGAGGGTCGTCTCTCGAATTAAGTACATCTTGACTCATTCGCCTCCCCCTTTCTATAAATTCCCTGTTGAACCAGATTTCTGAGCCGTGAGGCTGGGAAAGAGAAGAGCGGGGCTCTAGTCCAGCCCCAGTGTGACTCTGGGGTTTCATTTTCCCTTTCTGCGTTTCCAGTTACCCTATTCTAAGAAAGGAAAATAATCGGTCTGGAGGCGGGAAGATGCCCCGTCGGAACCTCCAGGAGTCTCGGATCCGGCGGGTGTGGCCGGCCCTCCCAGCGGGCGGGTGTGTGGACCAGACAACCCCTACCCTAAAGCTCAGCTCCCCGCGGGGCTAGTGGCTCTGACCCGGACGCGGACGCAGGCGAGTCCCAGCGACCCGCGTTGGCGACAAGGGGCTCTCGCCTTGGAGGGATGGGGAAAGAAGGCCAAGCTGGAGTCTGGGGTCCGGGACCCGAGGCCCGGGACACTCCCAGCGGCGCCCAGGCCTGGATGAGAAAGGCCCGCGAGCCTCGCCGGCAGCGCCCGAGCGCCTCAGGGAAGCAGATTCCGTTCAGCCTTCCGCGCCGCACCCTGAAGCCTAGCTCCCTCGCCGCCCCGTCAACCTTTCCCCGCCGTTCCGGAGCTCACCTCGCCGCTGGTCCCGGGACCCTCTTGGTCACCGCCAGCCGCCAGGAGCCCCTCGGAAACAGAGAAAAAGCGAACGCCTTCACTTCCGGAAATAACCTAGGACGACCACGGAGCTGGCCCCCAGCCCGCGACCATAGAGGAGAGGCCGCTTTCAGGCCGCAGCCCCCTCAACCCCACGACCTCCCTGCTGCCTAGAGCGGCCACGCCGAGCGGAGCAGTGGGCACATGCGCACTAGGACCGGCCACGCCCCTCTAGGCCAAAGCCAGGGACTCGCAGCCAGAGGGCGAGGTGGGTGCTGTCATTTAAGTGCTGCTCCTGGGCAGTATTTCCTCATTCAGAGGACACTCCTTTGTTCAGAAAGTAAAGTACTACTTTCTTACTGCTCCGGGTGTGCTCCACAATAAACTTTTTTTTTTTTTTTTTTTTTGGTCTTTTTGAGACAGGGTCTCCCTGTAGCCCCAGCTGTCCTGGAACTCACTATGAAGACCAGGCTGGCCTTGAACTCACAAAGATCCGCCTGCCTCTGCCTCCCAAGTGCTGGGATTAAAGGCATGCGCCACCACGCCTGGCTCACAATAAACTTTTACTTTCACATTTTATGCAGAATATTACAGAACCAGAACTAGAGTTTAAAGTTTCATTTGTGGTGTGGAATAAAATGACTTTCTCTCGTTTCCCCCTCCCTGCCATTCCCCATCCCCGTTCTGGATCAGTTGAAAAGGCATGATTGCTGCGTATTCAAAATCGATTAGACATTTTAAGTTGTTAGAGATGGGGCTGCAGATGAAACTCAGTTGGTGAATGTTTGCCTAGCATACTTGAAGTCCTACGTTCATTCCCAGCACCATCTTACCCAACTGGGTGTTGTGGTATTTGCTTGTAATCCCAGCACTTGGGAGGTAGAGGCAGAAGGATCATAAGTTCAAGGTCATCATCCCCTGTGTAGCGAGTTTGAGACCTGTCTGGGCATCTAAAAAAAACCTTAAAGATGTCTTTTCCTGGGGCTGGAGAGATGGCTCAGTGGTTAAGACTGCTGCTTTTGCAGAAGACCCAGTTTCAATTCCCAGCACCCACATGGCAGCCAACAACTACCTGTAAATCCAGTTCCACGGGATCTGATGCCCTTTTCTGGCCTTCCTGGGCCTTGCAGGACATAGGTGTACTTAACACACATGCAGGCAATACTCATACATGTAAAAGAAGAAATAAAAAATATTTAAAACGAAATGTCTTTTCCTCTCAGATTGGTAGAGTAAAAATGCTCTGTGCTAATGCAGGGCAGTAGTGTGAACATACTTTGTGGAGAATAATTTGGCAAATTGTATAAACTTTTTTCCTTATTGTAGTAGGAGAGGCATAACAGAATTTACCATTTTAATCTTTAATTTTCTTTTTCTTTTGAGACCCAGGTTTTGTATCCCAGGATGGCCTTAAACTCAAGAGCCTCTCATACCAGACTCCCAAATGCTTGGATTACAGACGTGTCCTACCACAACCATCCATTTTTAACTTGTGCTGGGAGTGAACTCAGGGCCTTGCATATGCTAGGCAAATGCTCTTCTGCTGAGCTACACTCACAGCTTGACCACCCATTTTTAAATGATTTTACAGTTCAGTGACATTAAGTATACTTGCATGATTGTGTATCTATCACCACTATCTACCTCCAAGTCTTTAAAATATTCCCACACTAAAGATCCACTTCTATTAAAACCACATTTATTAGCTGGGCGTGGTGGTACATGCCTTTAATGCCAGCACTTGGGAGGAAGAGGCAAGTGATCTCTGTGAGTTCAAGGTCAGCCTGGTCTACCTAGGGAGTTCCAGCCTAGCTGGAGCTATAGGGAATCCTGTCTCAAAAAGACCGAAAAAAAAAAAAAAAAAAAAAAAGAGGAACATTTATTAAGCTGGGAGTGGTACATGCTTATAATTCCAGCTGAGAAAAATTGCCTTGAGCTAGCCTGGGCTACATAAAGAGTATCAGACATGCATTGGAGAGATTGCTCAGAGGTTAAGAGTACTTGTTGCTATGCAGAGGTCCTGGGTTTGGTTCCCAGCAACTATGTGGTATTTCACAGCTGTAAATCTAGTTCCAGGGAATCTGACACCCTCTTCTGTCCCCTACAGGCACTATGGGCACCACATTCATGTGCTACCATACCTATGAACAATGGTCACTCTCAAGAGGACAGATCCCACAGGCCATGCACTCCTGTATATCTTAACCTGGGCTAAAGAGTTAAGAAGCTGTCTATGTAGCTAGAGAGACAGCACAGACCTTAAGAGCACTTGCTGCTCTTATAGAGCACCCAAGGTCAGTTCCTGTCACACACATGAGGTGGCTTTCAACTGCCTCTAACTCTAGCTCCATGGGATCTGATGCCCTCTTCTGGCCTCTGAAGGCACCTAAAAACACAGCAGAAACACACACACACACACATACACACACACACACACACACACACACACACACACACACACACACAGAGAGAGAAATATACACCATTAAAAAAAGAAGCTGGGCACTGTGGTGCATACCTTTAATCCCAACACTCAGGAGGCATAAGCAGGTGGATCTCTGTGAGTTCAAAGGCAGCCTGGTCTACATAGCAAGGCCAGGCCAGCTGGAGCTACAGGGAGACCCTGTCTCAAAAAGACCAAAAAAATTTTTTTTCTATCCCCTAAAAGTTTATCAAAGTCTGATATTTTCTCTAAAGAGGGTCCCTTCAGCTATCTCTTTCTCTTCCTATCTTATTATTCTCACTTATATTTTGTTTGGTTTTAATACTTATTTTTTGTTTTACGTGTATAAGTATATTGCCTGCATGTAGGTAAGTGCCCCCGTGTCATGCAATGCCTTTGGAGGTCAGTGAAGGGTGTCAGATCCCTTGAAACTGGAGTTACAGGTGGTTCTTAGCTGTCATGTGGTGCTGGGAATTGAACCTGACTCCTCTGCAAGAGCAGAGCAGCCAGTGCTCTTAATTGCTGAGCCATTTCTCCAGTCCCTTGTTTTTTTTCTGTTTTTTATTTTTATTTTTTTGAGACAGGGTTTTCACTATGTAGTTTTGGGTGGTATTGAACTCACTATGTAGACCAGGCTGGCCTTGAACTCACAGAGCTCTGCCTGCTTCTGCCTCCTGAGTGCTAGGATTAAAGGCATACACCAGCACATCTGGCTTATTCTCTTTTTACAAAAATATTTTATTTATTTATTTATTTATTTGTTTGTTTGTTTGTTTATTTATTGAGACAGGGTCTCCCTGTAGTCCCAGCCAGCCTGGAACTTGCTAAGTAGACCAGGTTGGCCTTGAACTCACATTCATCTGCCTCTGCCTCCCAAGTGCCACTACAGGAAGCTTATTATTTTTATTTTATGTATGAGTGTATTGCCTGCATATATGTAAGTGTACCCATGTTGTACAATGCCTAGGGAGGTCAGAAGAGGGCGTCGGATCCCCCAGAACTGGAGTGACAGACGATTGGTTGTTAGCTGCCATGTGGGTGCTGGGAATTGAACCTTGATTCTCTGCAAGAGCAACCAGTGCTCTTTACTGCTGAGCCAGCTCTCTGGCCCTTATTACTCTTAATGAAGCTCTTTTCCAGGTTTTAAAAGAAAGTCTCTCCTTCCCTTTAAGGTCTCAGTCACATTTCCCTTTCACATATACTTTACCATTTTCTGTCTGATACTCTCCTTTCCTTGAGGCCTGATCATGGTCTCAGGCCCTTTCTTCTAATCAGTCTCATTCTTGGAGGGTAATTATGTGTTACCTCCTGTGCTGGATAGCTTTAGTGTCAACTTGACACACCTGGGTTGAGGGAGCCTCAATCGGGAAATTGCCTCTATTGGACTGGCCTGTGGCCATGTCTGAAGGGCATCTTCTTGATGAGTGATGTGGGAGGGCCCAGCTCACTGTGGGTGGTGCCACCCATGGGCAGGTGGGCCTGTGTTGCATAAGAAAGATGGGTACACTTACACACACGCAGGCAATACACTCATACACATAAAAATAAAATATTAAAAACAAAACAAAAAAAATGCCTTTAATCCCAGCAGGAGGGAGACAAAGGCAGGTGTCTCTGTGAGATCAGGACAGCCTGGTTCATACAGCAAGTGTTAGGCCAGCTGGGGTACAGGAGACCTTGCCTCAAAAAGACCCCCCCCCCAAAGTTTTAATAAGCAATAAAAACTTAATTGAATTTTTTAAAAACTTGCTGAATTTAGCTGATTAATATATATATTTTTTTTTTTTTATGGTCTTTTTGAAATAGGATCTCCCTGTAGTCCCAGCTGGCCTGTAACTTGCTATGTAGACCAGGCTGACCTCAAATTCACAGAGATCCCTGTGCCTCTGCCTATCAAGTGCTGGGGTTAAAGGCACCAAGTCCAGTGCTCTATTATTATATTTATCATGTAGCAAGACCCTGTTTCAAACTTCCCCCATTCAACAACAACAAACCAACCAGTTATTTATACAGACTTATTTTTTTGCCTTTTTGAGACAGGGTCTCCCTGCAATCCCAGCTGACCTGAACTATGTAGACCAGGCTGGCCTTGAACTCACAAGGATACACCCGCCTCTGCCTCCTGAGTGCTGGGATTAAAGGTGTGCACCACCACACCCGGCTATATACAGACTTAATTTTATAGTACTTTCTTCCTAATTCCCATACTTTATCACAACTGATCTTTGACATAACCTCAGGAAATTGAAATTTAGAAAGATTGGATATATTACCAAGTTAATATGTGGTAGAGCTAGGCTTTGAAGATGGTTCTTCTAATCAACTTCATATTAGGCTTTTGTGAAAGACCAACCAGTTTATTGGAGCATCTATTATATGTCAGTGCAGTGCAAGAATTTGGGGGATCAACAACCCCAAACAAACCGCCATTAGGGCCTCTGGTTGCTAACACAGGTAGATAGTCTCAGCTTTGCTTTCTTTACTTAACTCAGAATCCCTGCATTTTCTGTTGCAGCACCTTGCTCTTTCTCTTCATAGCAATTATCATATTTCCACGGCAAGTTTGAGTTCTGTATGCCCAGCCCCCATACCTCAAGTTTTAAGCGCCAATGGGACAGACTCCATATTTTCCTATCAGCGTATCTCCATTCCACTAGAGTGGCATGTAATAGAACCCAGTAAATTAAGAGAGCTGGAGATATGGCTCAGTGGATAAGAGCACTTGCTGTGAAAGCAACAAGACCTGAGTTCAAATCTCTAACACCCAGGTAAAAAGCCAGGCAAGTGGCTGGAGAAGACAGCTCAGTGGTTAAGAGTACTGGCTGCTCTTGTAGGGGACCAGGGTTCAATTCCCAGCACCCACATGGCGACTAGGAAACCGTCTGTAACTTCAGTTCCTAGGGAATCAGAGGCTCTCTTGCCTTGTACATATGGTACACTTGCATACAGTAAAAAAACAAAAAAAAAAAACCCCAAAAATATATATGTTTTGAGACTGGACCTCTCTGGGTAGCCCAAGCTGGTCTCAAACTCACAATGCCCCTGCTTTCCCCTCTGCAGGGCTTACAGGAGGGAGTCACCGCAAATTCTGGAATCCTAGCCCTTCATCAAGCATCCCTTGATCAACAGAAAGCAGGGCATGCCTCCACCCAGGACTAGGCTCCGCTTTGGGACTTCCATAGCCACGCCCCTTCCCCTCTGCCAACGGAGGGCCTCAGCCTCGGGCCCACCCTCTCCGTGACGCAGGCGCTAACGCAGGCGCAGCGGGTGCGCGCTGTTTCCGGGAGTCGGCGCCGCGGTCGGTTCTTTGGATGCTGCTGCGGCCGCCGCTGCTCGCTGCGGAACTCTGCGCGTGGAACGGCGGCGGCCCGGGCGAGGCCAGAGTTCCGGCCGCGCTGCAGAATGGAGATAATCCGGAGCAGTGCGTGTCCGCTGTGTACCTGCCGGGGCTCCGCGCTTATCTAGCCCGCTAGGCCCAGACCGCGAGCTGCACGTTAGGCGGGGCCCAGCAGAGTCTGTCCCTTTGGGCTTTGCATCCTCTGAAACCCATCCGCCTCTTGGGGGCCTGTCCCTCTGGAAAACGTGCACCTCTGGGACCCTTGCCTTTTTCTTGCCCGCACCCCCCGCTCCCCCAGGCCTTGTCCCTTTCCAGTCTGGGCACCCTTCAGAGCTTCGCCTCCTCTGGTCCAGCCATCCCTGGAGTTCTCGTCCCCGCGTGGTCTTTGCACACCTCGGAGATTTCTGCAGCCGCTGCACAGCCTCAGGGACTTGTCCCCCATCTCCCCCCCGCCACCAACCCTTCTCCCTCTCCCTTTAGGAGTCGGTGGGCAGAAAAGCAGACCACCGGTTCTGAGCCTGTTCTCGGTCTCTCCGCAGATTTTAAGAGTAATCTTCACAAAGTGTACCAGGCCATAGAGGAGGCTGACTTCTTCGCCATCGATGGGGAGTTTTCAGGTATCCCTACCTTGAAGCCCCGGGCTTGCACCTCTGTGCTAAGTCTTTTCCCTTCTCAGTCCCCTAATTTATCTTGCCTGTCGGCGGCTCCTTACTTACTCTGCCTTTGGGCAGGTTGCATATGTGTTCACGTTTCCTCCTAAAAGTTTCAAAAGTATTTAGATGTATTGGTTTTATGATTGGTCAGACTGAGGGTTGTGGACAAATATAGCTCTGGTGCTACCTAAAACAATTTCTGTACATGGTTAGAAAGCTGGAGGTTTAGGGTGAGGCCTTTTTTTTTTTTTTTTTTTTTTTTTTTTTTATTTTTGAGACAGGGTCTCCTTGTAGCCCCAGCTGTCCTGGAACTCACTATGTAGAC